GTGCCTCCTCTAGAAAGTGCTCTGAATTGTGGGTTCTCAGAGGACATGAAATGGAAATGTCCTTCTCAGTTCTCTGTGCACACTGGATGTCCATGGAGGGAAGGGGGTGGACACATACTGGAAACCAAATCCCATTCAGTCCTGTGCAGTTATTCTGCCCATTTTACAGATAAGGAGACTCAGGCTTTAAGAGGTAAAGTAACTGCTTATGGTCCCTGCTGTCAGCATGGTCATGAACTTCAAGTGGAAGTCAAGGTCACTGAGTCAGGCTGCTGCCCAAGTGCCTTCTGCAGCCTGGGGTGCTGTGGGTAAGGACTTAGGAGCTGGTGTAATTCGACTGTGAGGTTGAACACATCCTAACTCTGTTACTTAAAACATGCTGCTTACCTTAGCTAAACCTTGGTTTGCTCATCTATAAGATGGGGATAGTAATAGTGCCCGCCTGAGAATGCTGATGGGAGAATGTAACGAGATGAAACATATAAGCACGAATAAGTATCCAAAGCTCAGGAACTATAAGCTGTCGTTATTTACACCGTTGTTATGCCATGCTACTGTTGCAAGGAGATGTGGTGGCAAAGCACTACACCCTGAGGAGTTGTGAACCGTCCTTGATCCCCACCCCATCCCCATGCAAAATAGAAAGAGTATAGTCACGAATCAGATGAAAACATGAGAGCAGACAAGCAGTGGGAATAAATATTCATAAGTCAGGGTGCAGGCAGGTCCCAGAGGACAAGAAGTGGATGGAGTTTCAAAGGCCTCTTTTCCTGAGATAGGTGGGGACATTTTCTCAAGCAACTCTGGCGTATCAAGCTGCCTGCTAGCCCTCGAGGATATGATGATGCTCATTCAGACATGCACCTATGAGCTCTGGTCCAGATTCTCCCAGTATTCAGCCGCACCACTGTTTCCTCCTAAGACAAACACAGGAGCCAGATGACTCCTGTAGGCCTCAACAGACCTCATCCTGGGTAGTTCAAGTTTGACTCAGAGAAGGGGGGCTGTCTTCCCAGGGCTGGAGATCCAAAGATGCCCACCCCCTCATCTAGCGTGTATTCTTCTGTAAGGGCCGAGCACTGTGGCGAGCCAGGGCCGGACTCCCTTCCTGCAGCACTCATCAGTGCCTTCTTGCAAAGCCCCACCCTCTTTCCTGAACACTGATCCCCTACATCTATATGTCTCTACCACCCCCCAGTCCAACACTGAAACCAAATTGCAGTCACCTCTAGGGGAGCTATTGATTTCACCGGCCATTACAGAGTATGTCCTTTGTGTAGTCACTATACTAAATACCCAGAGAGATTCAAAGAGGCATCAGACTAGTGCCTTTCATCCAAGAAGCTGGCAGATGGGGAACTCGGACGTGGACACACTGGGCACAGGGACCAGGCCTGTGCTGGAGCTGGGTGTGTGCAAGGACCCACGTGTACAAGTATCATGTCAGCTGATGAAGGGTTTTCAACCTCAGCACCGTTGATGTTTTGAACTGGGTAATTCTATGTTGGGGGACTGTCTTGTGCATTGTAGGATGTTCAGCAATGTCCCTGGTTACTCCTGAGGTATCAGTAGCACCTTGTGTCCCCCACTGTGTCAACCAAAAGCATCACTGAACATCCCTAATTGGTCCCTGGGGACAAAAATTACCCCCATTTGGGAAGCACTAAGTGAATCCTAACATAGATCAGTGACGTGGGTATGATTTCATCTCTACTTGACAGCCATTCTGTCTAATCTGAGGTGCTGCTAGGTAAAATTGCATATCCAAGGTCACACAGATCGGAAGGATAAGGCAGGGCCAGTTTGCTTTCACAGATCACAAGCTTGCTATTCTTATTCCCCTACCCCCATCTGGGCACCCATGGTACTGAGGTCTTGGCAATGCTCAATAAACTCACCCAAAGATGGGCCATTATTAACACCAATTCTTCCCACATATAGTGCCCATTGTGAGCCACACAACCATTCTGTAGTGTAGGTCTCACCCCCCCCCCATTTTTTAAATGAGCACTCTTAGCCCAAAATGGACAGAAGGGATCTGCCCCAAGTCACAGAGAAGACAAGCCACCCAAGGCTGGGCTGGGACCCACATCTTATAATCCTACTGTCTCTGATACTCAGAGAGTTGAGCAAACACTGATTAAACTATGCGAGGCAGGAAGCAACTTAATATAAAAAATGCAAATCCAGGATGATGGATATATTTAGGGGTTGAATTATTATGTGGTAATATAAAAATAGATCAAGGGAAAGCACAGGAAATTGCAAACCTGACTGTGCGAGAAACGGAGAAGGTACATGGAGAGCATTGGGTACGTGTAATTAACTTTGCTGGGACAATATTTCGAGGCTGCCACTTGACACCAAAACATCCACAGGCTTCATTTACAGTAACCATGCAGGTAATCCCCTGAGGAGGAGTTATAATCCGACAGAGCTCAGTTTGAAGCTGTGGATTCAAAAAGTGCCAATGTTCAAATGCTTTGATGGGCAATCCCAATTCTCATATGCACTTAGGGTAAGCACACCATACATGTGGGTCCTGAGGCCTGTATGCCTGCTGATATTGAAATGACCTTCTTAGCTCTCGGTGCACACTGGATTCCCACAAGTACTGGAAACCAATTCCCATTCAGTCCTGTGCAGTTATTCTGCCCATACATAAGGAGACTCAGGCTTCAAGGGGTAAAGTAACAGCCTATGGTTCCCGCTGTCAGTGTGGGCATGAACTTCAAGTGGGAGTCAGGTGGTTGAGTCAGGCTGCTGCCCGAATGCCTTGTGCAGCCTAGGGTGCTGTGGATGAGGGCTTAGGACCTGGTGGCATTCAACTGAGAGGTTAAACACTTGCCGGCTCTGTTTCTTGAAACATGCTCCTTACATTGCCTAAACTTGGTTTGCTCATCTGTAAGATGGGGATAGTAACAGTGCCTACCTCAGAGGACTGATGGGAAGATGCCATGAGATGAACTGTATAGGTACTAATAAGATCTAATAAAAGCCAAGTATAGGATACCATTATTAACACAATTATTATAATTCCTACTGTCATCAAAGGGAGCCCAGGTGGCATGAAGCTTCACTATGCAGACATATGATCTTTCTTTTGTCCCCATGCCCTATATCTCTCCATGCAAAGTGGAAAGAGTACACTCTTGAGGACAAACAGAAGATTTAAATAACAGTCAGGGGGCATCTAGGACCCCAGGAGACAAGGAGACAAGCCTCATGATTGGTTTCAGGGCCTTTCTCCTGAGCTGGGTGGGGAAACTCCACTGTGAGCGCTTCCACCCTACCAAGTGTTTCCCAGAGGTCCTCCAGCCACAGAAGAGCCGTGATTCCGTGTGTCCTCTGCTTCGTGGGAACACCACAGCACAAGCACCTCACAGCCAGGTCTACCTGCACCCGAAAGAACCTGTTCCAGCCTAAAGAAATCTTATTTATTTATTTATTTCCATAAGAAACAGTTATCCAGTGCTCCCTGGTGCAGCTGATACTCAGCTATTTATCTTGAGGCACAATAGCCCTTCAGGCTGCAATCCTCCTCCCACAGTCCAGATACCCGACGGGCTCAGAAGTGAATTCCTAGGTTCATGGTTTTGATGGACCTGTGAGCATTAGGCAATGGCGGGTGGGTGATTTTTCCAGGTCCCAGAAATTTGTACATGGGGGAACCTCTGCTAAGCAGGGATATGTGCAGTTGAGGAAGTGGAAAAGGTATGAGTGGCCTGTTTGCCTGAACCGGAAATGGGAGCCATGTGGGAAAGCATTCCTGTCTTCCTGGTCAGAGTAAAATTTACCCTCCTTCCAACGTCCTGCACCAGTCACCGCGAGACCTGCTCAACAAACCCAGCTCCTAACACAGGGGAGAGGCCCAATCAATATGTGATAAATGAATGAAACTGAAAACCAACTAGGCTGCTTCTTGATTTTCCAAAAGTGTCCCCAAGACTGGTAGTTAGTTACCTATGTGTGATACTTCCAGGTATTCAAAGAAACGCGGTTTCAGAGCACAGTTTATTCAAATATTTACTGGTTTTCGCCCATGAGCCAGGTCTTGGGAACAACCTGCGTGAAGCAATCAGGGTCTCCACCCTCCTGGGGCTTAGTGTAAGTGACGCTTCTGCACAAATGAGTTCCCGACAGTCACATATTTACTAATATTCCAAGATGAGCCATAGCTCTTAAAAAAAACTTAATAATTGCATGCTTTGTGTTTCTTGACAAAATGGACCAGAAACCACTAGCAATTATGTTGGAGTCATTACTGCAAAGCCAATTTGCTTCTAGAGTTTCAGTTGTACTCCAGGAACTTGAGCTACACTCCAGAGAGATCATTAGTTGCTGCACATGCATTATTGAGGGCACTGGTGTCGTTTCCAGTCCAGGATGCCCTCAGTCAAGTGTGATAGCAGGAAATGGGGGTCGAAATAATTAACCTCATGTGATTTTGTCAGGAATCCTTGCAAAACCACCCACTTGTGTCTTTCAGTTGAATAATCTCAATGCATCGGTTTTATTGACGTGATCTCTTTCCCTGGCCTCTTTGCCCACCTTGCTATTTGTTTTTCTGTCTCTCAATTTATGTCTTTGACTAACCTCTATTCCCATCTCCCTTCCTATATCCAGTAGGGCATGGTTGTAAGTAATGGCCCACACAAGCATTGTTGAAGGTGGCTCTGCTGGGACTCTCAGACCACGGTCCTCACTCTAGATCAGAATTCTCAAGAGAAAACCAGAAGGTGTCCTTTTGTGAAGGCTTTGCTCAACTTTACTTCAATTAAATCCCTTTCACCAATCCTAGGACTCCTCCCTCAACTACAACATGAGTGGAACCTCCATGGGTTTGGGAATCTATTCTGAGTTCAAATTACGATTTTCACCATTTGCTCCAGGAGATGGGCCCTTGAACGATTCCTGTGTAGAAAGAAGGACGACAGCAATGTTTACCATTTATGAGGAATAAATTGAATGAGTCTGTGCAGTTTTTATCCCAATATGCTGTTAAATGAGCCTTATTTTCATCTCCTCATCCAGCCACCCATCCCCTTCATTTAAAAAGCATGCACCAAAGTCCAATTACGTGCCAAGTGTTGTGCACTGTTCAAGTTTTGTAACTGGTATAAGAAATTTCACTCATTGGGGGGTATGATGAATGGTAGCCCCCATCTTTTTTTTGCTTTTAAATGAATCATTCAAGACTTTTCTACTAATAGGTATAAATCCAAGATCTCCCTCTTTCTCAGTGTTAATGTATTTCTCATGGCTTCACCTCTTGTCCAAGAACTCCAGGGCTTCAAGAGTCACATCTGTTTTGAGAATCAGGGAAGTCTCCTCGGGCTATGTGTGCAATGCTCCTCCTCACCAGCAGGAGTCACTGTTGACAAATGGTCTTCAGCAGGTCCAGGCCATGCTGGTATTGGCCGAGATCACTATAGGGGTCAAGGATACCATATCCTTAGTTCACAAGCACACAGGCTCAGTGGTTGGCCCTCAGGTCTAGACAGCATGTCAGGGGAACTGGGTACTCAGATCTTTCCAGAGTCATCTATTTGCTGAGTTTCAACCAGGCCTTCCCCATCAGTCCACTTGGTCCACTTGGTCACTTCCCTCCAGCCCATGAATCTGGGTAAGGGCCACACCCTCCAGTTTGCTGACTCCCTCTTCACATGCTTCTGGGGTCAAGGTTGCCCTCTTGTCCCTTTTCTGCCTTGGGGGTCTACAGCATCCCTTTACAGACTGGTCCACACCTTCTCAGGCCTCTGTAAAACAGGAGAGAAATGACTCTGTCAAGCCCCCCAAAAGCCCTTCAACATTCAAAGTCCTCTCACCACCTTCTCTCAGGAAAATGGGTACCACACAGAAAAGAAGGTCTGGTCCATGGTTGTTGCTAAATTATCTTTCCAGGATAAAAGCTATGTGTTTTTTTTTTTTTCCTCCTAAACAATTAGAGTTGTATCTGACCACATGCTTGATCTTAGTTATTAAAAACACAATCCACTATAAACCAGACAAAACACCACCCTTGGGAAGCTTAAAATGTAAGGAAGAAGTCAAAACCAAAAAAATAACGAAACCACTCCGTATCAGGAATGATGGAACATCCCTACTTGATGGACCAAATTTACTCCACCCGCCTTGAGGGAGACCAAGAAACCTGAGGCACTGAGGTCTATAAGAAGAACCATAAGAAAAAGGTGACCAAGGAGACATGCAGGGCCCAGTACCCTTGAGCAGCCAAAGGCGACGTTAAGGGCCTCCACTGTCCCCTCTGCCACCTCTAGTCCTTCCTAGAGTCTCAGGATGGATAGACCTTATGTGTTAGCTAGACTGCCCATAGGATAGGAGAGGGGCCAATTCCAAAGGCCAATCTCCCCTTTCAGTCCCTCACACATTGTGAGTAAATGCAGAATTTAGGAAGTGAAGAGATTCACACCAAGGACAAACACAACACGCCCCCCCACTTCCCAGTTGATCCCCCTGGAAAACACAGGCCGGAGGCGCCTCAGCCCTAAACTGTGCTCTGCGCCTCGGCTTCCTTTCCAGGGCGATGTGGCAGGGATGCTTCCAGGATGTGCCTGCTCCAGAGGAGGGAGAGTGTGAGAGGGAGGGGCTCCCGGGCATTGAATAAATAAAGCGGATGCGGTTGAGCAACTGTTGAAATATGAGGAAATTGCTTCCAGCAGTTTAAAGTCTTGGCTTGACTCATAATTTAACCTTGAATATAGTTTTCAAAAATCATTAAGTCCCCAAAGCCTTCATCTCTAGCAGTGATTAGCTATGATGCAGTCAGTAGGAAGTTAATATATTTATTTATAAGGAGGCAGATAATGCATGGAAAGAATCTATTCATCCTGCCCTCACTCAGCGAGTACTTACTGACAGCGAGCTCAGGAACCAGCACCACTGCTGAGCACTGGGAGATCCCAGGGAACAAACAAGCTCCCACCTGCCGAGGAGCTTGACGACCCATAAGAGGAGGCGACAAGGAATCAGCATTAATGGAACACCACTGCATGCAACCATTGTTCTGGGAGTTTCAGCAGCCTTTAACCTTTACCCTTGGAAAAAAAAAAAAAAAAAAAAAAAAA